GCCGGTGAAGACCTAAGTGTTCCGAGAGGAATTCCATAATGCTGGAAAAGGCGATGGCGTTTGCGGAACAAGAAGACTTCAGCCTGAGACAGTGTCAGGCTAACTCGTCCAACTATCTTCCGACGAGAAGATAGGAAACAGAAGGTCCCGAGCCAATGGACCTCTGTTACATCGAGAGCGGGAAATCTCGCTCTCAGAGTCACAAGCGAACGGCAAAATGTCATCGCTGTCAGAAGTTTGGACACTACCGTCATGAGTGTAGTGTTTCTAGCACTGCAACACGTCCAAAGACAGGACGTGACCGCCGTTGGCCAAGTAAGGGTCCGAGGCGTGGATCCGACCATGTTGCTAAGCCGCGACAGCAAGTTGGACCGTCAAAATACGGTCAGGGTCAGTAGGGGCGGAGCACCCTGCTGATCCAGCAAAGTCACGAGAGATTGGCAGGACTCTTGACGAAGATTGCTCCCAACACACAGTCGCTTTGTGTTACTGCCCCTTGTGATCAGGTATCCTTCATCACTTTGAAGATCGGGGTGACAAGTGGAATGTCACTTCGCGCCCTAGTTGACTGTGAAGCGTCGAACAGTCTTATTCGACGCCAGTCGCTGGAGGATAGTAGACTCAACTATGCTGAGCGAGAGTTCCCTCCAACGAGGATGACGGTGTTCCTTGCTACAGGCGCATCCGTAACAGTGAACAAACTTGTAGTGGGAATCCACTACACACTAGAAGGAAAGCAGTACGATGATGACTTCACCGTACTAGATTTGGATGACCAATTTGATTTCATCCTTGGTCTGCCATGGCTTATAAAGTACCGGACATGGGTTAGCTGGCAGCATCGATACGTGAAGATGCCTGTCGTTTGTTCATCGGATGGCCATCTGATGAACGTCTTGGAGCGTTTACAAGCGTGTGGATGTACTACGAGTGAGTGCGATGGTCTCGCTTGTGGTACGGTCGTTAGTACGATTGCACAAGATCATAGTGTAGAAGGCCACTGCACTGTGGAACCAGCTTTCGGTACCTGTGTAGAGACACAGGATGCGCCGAAGGTTCACCACTCGAAGAGATCTAGTGGACTGGAACACGGATTCAAACTAAGAAGGGTGCATCCGAGAAGAGAGATTAGTGTTGTTTATGATGAACAACACGTTGAAGCAAGACCAAATATCAGAGATTCGATCGTAGAGAAATCCCGCTCGACTGAAAGAGAGTCGATCGAAGAGGACGTGACCGTGATATTACCCGTAGCGGAAGAAAATTCCAAAGTTCCTGAGAGTGATAACTCCCAATATAGTTATGTTGAGGATGTGGATCCCCGACCACCTGCGGATGTGTTTTCCCAGAAAATCACCGAGACACTGAATGTCTTGGTGAATGACGGATTAAGCGTAGGCGCTTCTACACTTGATCTGGTTGCACTTCCATAGTCTGCTTGGGAGGCAGTCAAGTTTCCAACGTTAGAATCTAAAAGATTCTTGCGAGATCTGCGTAGTGACAAGATCAAGTAGATCTGCGTACTCGTCCTCTGTGACGAGTACGTCGCCGATATTCGAATAGCACAAGTGTTTGCTGAGAACGAACGGGTTCTCAGTAGCTCATCGTTGGACAAGAGTATCGTCGATGAGAAGACCCTGATTGAGCGATACACGTCTCAATATTGGGAGTCTTTAAAGACAAATCCTTTGTACAAGGATTTAGTTGAATCCAGGGGTGTCTTCCCTACAATTGTGCCATGAGAGCTGCATAAGAACAAAGACACTCGGCATGAGATCGAACTGAAATTCGTCTTGAAGTACTGTTTTACGAAGCAGTGGCCACTGCCTCGTGAACAGGTAACAGCGATCGACAAATTCTTTGCCGATCGATTAGCGGCTGGTCATGTGAGGGAGTCAACATCCACACACAGCTCTCCGACCTTCTGTGTGCGAAAGTCCACAAGAGGGTGGCGGATAGTGCACGCGTTCAACTACATGCTGCAACAGTACCGGCTCAAACGCCGATCCCTAGAAAGGACGTCATCATTGATGGAATGGCAAAAAGTACCATCTTTTCATCCATGGATTTGATGGATGAATTCTATCAGATCCTCATGCGTGAACGGGACATACCGCACACAGCAGTGAGAACCCCCAGTGGTATGCTCTGGGAGTGGCTAGTAATACCACAGGGGCTAAGTAACGCCCCTGCAACGTTCAACAGATGTGTTACGAATCGGTTGCGATCGGTGCGCGACTTCGAGCCGAGTTAATTTGACGATGTCTTCGTCCATAGCCAGGCTATGGATGGAAAGACGGACGCGAGGTTCATAGAATCCACGTCCGGAAGGTTCTTACTTTAATTCGAGAGCTTGAGTTGTTCGCGAACCTCAAGAAGTGTATATTCGCAGCGAACGAAATATCACTTCTTGTCTGCATTGTGGGTAAAAATGGTGTACAACCCGATCCGGAAAAGATCAAGGCAATTAGCGACTGGCCTGTGCCAATCGATGTTAAGGGACTTCAAAAGCGCCTTGGCTTAACAGCATATTTTGCGCAAATACTCGCGCAACTATGCCGAGATGACCGTACATCTTTCTTCTCTCGTCTACTAAAGAAAAACGAGAGGTGGTAATGGAGCGCTGAGTGTCAGCACTCCTTTGAAGGCATTATGAAAAGCTTGGTGCAATAGCCTGTGTTGGCGATTGCAGATCAGGATAGGCTATCATGTGGTCTGTGACGCCAGCAATTTTGCAATCGGCTGCGCGTTAATGCAGTACGACTCAGACGGCGTTGAGCGCGTCGTCTGTTATCAATCGCGTCAGCTGCAAGCAGCTGAGCGAAATTATGCGGTTCATGACAAGGGACTCCTTTCCATAAAATATGCACTGTCCGAGTTTCGGGTATATCTCTTAGGAGATAGGCCCTTCATGGTTATACCAACCATGCGTCGTTACGCACGGCCGTAAACAGTCCACACCTCTCGCAACGAATGGCGAGGTGGCTGTCATTCTTTGCGGAGTACAGCTCTCCGTCGAGTGTAAACCAGGAAGACCGAATGTCGTCACTGATGCTCTTTTGCGTCGGCCCGATTTCGAGCCGACTGCTTAACCCAACAGTATGGGTGATCTCACTGTAGCAACACTATCAGTGAGTGTTTCGTCATAGAATTTGCTCGACGACGTGCGAAGAGCACACACAGGGGACAATCTACTTCTGCGATTGATGATTTACGTGTCTAATCCATGCAGTCAAGCTTTGAAAAGCTTATAATCTTTATACCGCTCTTCAACTGAACAGTATTCTGTACGTGATCGACTGCTGTACTATACAGCAGTCAGCGGCGACACACCTCGTGTCGTCGTTCCGGCTTATAATAATTTTCGACTGAGCACCATGTATGAGTGTTACGATGACCCAAAAAGTAAGAATAGATTAGAGGTAGAGAAAAGACTTACCACACGGTAAGTCGTGATTTCTACTGGCCCCGCCAGTATGAGTTTGTGCGGGAATACATTCGCGCTTGTGAAGTTTGTCAACGGGTGAAGGCTGGTCCTTCATCCCGCGCACCCTTACAGCCTCTTCCGATTACAGCAGAGTGTTGGCAGTCCGTATCGATGGACTTCGTCTTCGAGTTTCCCAAAGACTATTACAAGAATACTGGTATTCTTGTGTTTGTTCATCGGTTCAGCAAGATGGGTAATCTTGTTGATGTACCGGATTCAATCACAGCCCAGGGCTGTGCGCGTGTCTTCATCGATACTATCTTCCGAATTTACGGGTTCCCCGTGAGCTCGTGTCCGATAGAGACCCCCGCTTCACAGCGGAGTCCTGGCAATCCCTGTTCCGTTCACTTGGAACACGTTTGACGATGTCAACTTCTGACCATCCCAAAAAAGATGGTCATAATGAACGCGTCAACCGCGTCCTCGAAAAGATGCTTCAAGGGTACGTCCACACGTTTACGAGCTGGAGTGTATTCGTGCCGATGGCGGAATTCGCCATCAACAACTCGGTGCACGCGTCGACAACGCATACACCGTTCTTCTTGAATGGCCTACGCCATCCACGTTAACCCGCATTATTAGAGTGTGACTCTAGTTTAACGGGGGGGGTGGACTCGCTGGTACAAAACCCGATCTGGTTCTTGCTCATCACCCGTCGACAATGGTATCGACATGATGGATGCCGATGTCGATGGGATCGATGACGATGATGACGATGACGACGATGCTTGTATATTCAGCATCGTCAATGACTGCCACAGTGAGGACGATGACGCCCTCACTGGTGAAGACAACGTTCTTTCAGCAGTGCACACGAAGCGCACTGCTATTGACAAGGATGAATCAGCAGAGGAATTTCTGCTGACTCGCGAAGCGGTTGTCCACTTCGTTCAAGACTCTATTGCAGATGCACTAGAAAGACGGAAAAGAAACGCAGATAAAAATAGAAGAGCAAATGTTCTTTCATTTGATGAAGGAGACTTAGTTTTACTGTCTGTAGTAAACCTACCAAAACACGCAGTAACAAACTTGGGCAGCAGTAATCACTGCCCAGGTGCATCGATCCGTTTCATGTATTGCACCACATGGGCAACGAATACACGCTTGAACTGCCCCGTAAGATGCGCACGCATCCAAGGTTTTCGATGGTCGTCTCAGCCCGTACTATCAGTACGAGCCCGTTTGGAGATGCGAAGAACACCTCCGCGGTCGAGAGCCAAGACCACCCTCGAGTGGTCCCGTTCAAACGAACCAGTCTGGTCGAATAGAGAAGCGACCTGTTCACGCAGTTGTGCGATGTCTCGAAGAGCTGCAGCCATCTCGTTACGAAGAGAACGAACCAAACGTTCGTTCTCAAGTTGCGCGAACGCAGAAGCGGCACGATCGTTCGAACGATCGTGCGCTAAGGAATTGCAATCATCCCTTACAAGATCCTGAAGCTTATAACGCCGAGTACGTTCATGATCCAGGTCATCGTGCAACTGATCCGTTAGTTCCAAACATCAATCTAATTCTACCCTCGAGCCGGGTCAGGCGTTCCCGCCACCACCGCATTCTTTATTGGACTCAAGCGGTGGTCAACGCTTTCTGATGAAGCGTATCCTGGACCACCGCGACGTGAATGGCGTCCGTACAAGTTAACGCTTCCGCTGGCGTGGCTATCCACCGGCGTGGGACAGCTGGGAGCCTCGTGCCCAGCTGATCGTCGATTTTCTAGGTCTCGCCGAGCAATACGAGACCCAACCGCTGCGTTCGAAGAAGGGCCGTCGGAAAACGACCTCCCCGAACGCGAGTACAGGGATTGCAAAGTGTCGATCCCTTCGGCCATCTCGGAAGAGATGCGCCTTCTCCAGTTGGGATCATTAGGGAGGAAGGCCGCCCTAGGGGCACGGTTTGAGTTGTCCAGGCAACCTGAACACGAATCACCCCACGAGAGACAGGGTAATCCTTCCTCTCTTGAAAGCCGGTTCAACTTGTATCGCGTCCCGACGGGGTTGCGTTTCTCGAACCTCATGCGAGCTGCATCAAGTTTGGCAAGCCAAGCTTCACAGCCAATTCACTCAATGTTGTGGATGAGTGCATTCCATCCCTGCACCAAGGCTTTACCGTCCCGTACACGGCTACCATTGTACCACCAATTTTTAAAGAACGCATTGGTAAAGAATTCTACCTCAGCACGGATAGTTTCCGTGCTGGAATCAGGTGGGCAAATCTTCCTGCAATTGAACAACGGGATTTGATCCCGTTCGGTAGTCGTGCCGGCCAACCGGCCCAACTCTCTGGATGGCGGCATCCACGGAGACTCCACTTAAGGAGCGTGGCGCAGGACATTTCAGTTCCTAGCCTTGTGATTGGTACCAGCATGAGCACTGGCACCAGATTTACCCCGATCTCTTGAGTTACTTCGCAAGTGGTGATGTTTAGGTGCTTTATCCATCCCCACGCGTCCTATCGTTGGATGGACTTGCGTGAGGCGGAGACATATCGAAACAATCACTCGATCCGAAGATCTGGGTCATAAAAACCGCCGCGTTGACCAGATCCAGTCAACCTGGCTCTTGCAGTGTCCCCCCCGGGTGATTCCGAGGCGTGAAGAGTTGCCTTCGAGTCGGGTGCATCATCCGACTCGCCAGAATAGATGAGCTCTGACTCAGACTCGTCTTGATTACGACCCGAGGTACCCGCTGCAGACGCAACGGATGTACCTGTCGCACGTGGTGACTCACCACGTGGAGGATTCACGACACTAGGCGACGAATTACCTGCTGCTGAGGCATGAGAGGCACTTTTCGCGGCCGCACGTATGCGTGCAGCTCGCGTGGTTTTGGAAACCATGGTTGAATTGGCAAAAATGAATAGAATTTGACCAACAAGTGCCCCCTTTCCCAAAGTGATTCAACGATGGTCACCCTGTCCCAATCAAGTCTAATTTAATCAACGGGTAATTGATGGTCAAGGGGGGGAGATGTAACGGGGTAGCCCGTTACATAAAACTGACACCAAACGGTGTCAATAGGAATATTGTCTAGCATGACAATATTCTACCAATATTATCCGAGATGGATAGTATTGAAGGAATATTATCCCCTTTTGGATAATAATCATTCGCTGCTCCAAGATTGGTTGATGTAAGACATATCAACCATAGATTGGCACCGATCGCTGCTAGACGCGCGCAATGAGTGGTGAGCAGGTTGTCGTCATACGACGGCGTAGTTTAATTAGTTAGATAAAGATTAAAGTTATATTGATAGCTTAACTCTATTAAATACATTTCTCTTTTGACCTTTGCTTGACCGAGTCGTTCCAGTAGAATAGCTTCCTCTGCACGTACTAGTGTACGTGAAGTTTCGCGGCACCCAAACAAAGGGTGCCCCGTTACAGGTGGTCGGCGTGAGAACTTATGGTAGTTACCAATAAATCCGCGATCAACGCCACCATTTATTCATGTCTGCACTGCCAGAGCCATGTTGGCAAACATATAATGTAATTGTGTTACGGCTTGGTTTGCGCCAATGAAGAAGATTGTTCGGCACTTACTTGCCAGTAGAAAAAAAGGAAGCTAAAAAAAGAACTTTTGTAAAGCTTATATCCGCATTAAAGGAGCCCGCAAGATCTAAGATCTGGAAGGGGGATCAATACAGGGTGCAGGATCTCATAAGCATTTTAGGTCTGTAGCCGAAGGCATAGCGCTCCGTCCTTACGAATACACTAGACGTCAAAGTTATATCAATCCGGTTATTGGACTAGCTCAAAATTCAAATACCGATTGACAATTGAGAATAATAGCACAATGTCTGCCGTTAAACTGAGGTCAACGTCGATGACTTCATGCGCACCAAAAACTTGCTGACCGGTAGTCCAAAGCTTGCGTAAATCCAACCGGTAGTACCAACCGTAACCCACGCTGGGTCTGGTGCACCATCTGTACCTACACTATGGAGATAATGTCCTAAATTATCAGTTAAGATGGGGTTCCCTGCGCCTCACTTGTGTGTCGCCGCCACTAAAACCATCAACTGCGAACGTAATTCAGGACTGTCCCTACCGCTCTCCAATTTGGTAAACACGTGACCAATTGGTGACTCACATCTTGCACCTTCTTTCAGATCCTTTAAGATCCATACCGGATATACTTCTTGATGTAGCGCTAGCGAAGTAAAAATGCCACAGTCAGGGGCCAAGTACGTCGCGCTATATGCCGTAGCTTGGGCAGGTCGACTGCCACCGCCGCGCGAGATCGCTTGTCTATGGTCAGAGTTTCTACAAGCCAGAATAAACTGCACGCTCATCTTGTCCAGTGCGATCTCCAATTTTATCCAAAAGTCGTCCTCACTTCCAACATCGATGCCAAGGTGTGGGCTATATAAAGCGGAAGGCGGTAATATTATCGGCACGACCATTCGACATTAAGGATAAATCCGTCCTGATTCAGCTCTACATTAGTAATTTGGTGACATTTAGCCGTATTCCATAGGCTTCTCCGCAGTCAGTAATATCATAGGATGTCCAAATAGACCGCGGTATCGCCCGCGTATTAGCAGTTCGTAGGTTCATCTAGAAGTCTGATCAGATAAGTCGGATCCTGGTGATATTTTTAGGATCGTCCAGCCTCCGGTAGAGAGGTTCACGCGCGAGAAAGAAAGTGGAGCGACCGGAAATTTCTGTCTGGTCATGTTCATCATACGAACTCACCTCGACCTTTCGCTGTTTTACAGTAAACAGGCCGTGGTATCCAGGTGTAACAAAATTATCAACTCATTACGTGCACGGGCTACCCATGCAAAACAAGAAAAGCATACATAAAAATCTTGATCGAGGGAGTCATTTGCCTTCGCTAAGTTTAAGCCATTAAACACAGCGCATTACGCTTTTCGACAGTCGCATCCTCATCGTCTTCGACACGGTAAGAAACGAAATTGGTATAAACTTGCTGATAAGGCACAATTGTTTTAGAGAGGTTGCACCTTACTAGCTTGCTTGCTTCGCACAGTTGAAGCCAATAATCTTGTAGGTGGCTTAATCCGTGTCTAGCAGAGCCATTGAACGAGAATGTAACCGAATTTCCCAATTGCTTTTTGAGTCAAAATTAATCGCTTTCAAGAAACGTATTAGGAAAGATGTGGTGGAGTGGGTTGTCAAAACTGCGTGTTAAGCCTCCCAAAAATATTACTGCTCCGGACTACCGAATTACAGAGGGAGGTACCCCGATTCCGTGTGTGGGCATTGAGTCATCTTCTGTATCGATCAAATGGCTAATTGCACTCTCTTATCGACTCGGACGGAGAGGAAGATGTTTCAATCTAGAGAGAGGTAGAACTGAAGCCCTAAGTGGATATGCTGCACCGGGTGGGGTATTAGGTGGACACTCTCTTCACTCAGTCGAGAGTAGGTTGCAACCAAGTTCTTCAAGTAACTTGTCGCTCCTGGACCTTTCCTTGTTGTCACAGAGGTGTTGGCCTTCTAAACAATTTTTTCCCTAATCGCGTAGTAGGTAAACCGCCTCCGACAGCGGGTCTTGAGTGGGGTGTTGCTTCTCAACGAATCCACACGCCATGCACTTCCTGGGGTTCTAAATGCATTTGAGTCTTACCTCGCAACTGTCTTTAAGGGGGGTTGTGTCCATTATTTGGAAGAGGCCGATAGACGTAACGAGTTCCTTGCCGCACGACGAAGTCGCGCCACGGAATTCGCAAATTAAATAGGACCTAATATCCCCGACCTCATAATTTTGTAAATTCCTATACATCACACAAATTGTAAAACTCTACACATTATACAAAATAAGCAATTTTTATAAAATCGCTTTCAGTAATTTGTGGAACAGTCTATAATAGGCTCCTTTACTCCATATTAACTCAGACAAAGGGTATTTTGAAATTGATATAAAAAACTACAGGGCCTAGAGATGCTTCAGGATGGCGAGATGCTTTAAAAATTCTTTCGAAGGACGTATTAATGAGATTGGTGCGACGCTTGTTCACGTAGGTTAAAAAATTGAACAGTCGCTTTCAATAGGTCGTGTAATGTAAACATTCGCGATGACGCCGCAGAGAGTGCGAGGTCGATAATTCGGGTGATCATGTCTCCATTCGCCATAGAGCAGAGTGTAGGCATACTGCTTGTCAGTCGCCGTCCGGACGGCGAATATGCCGCCGGACGTCTTGACAAGATATTAAATGGCTACTCTCGAGCTCCTTAAGTTGTTCAAGCGTACATTCCTTTTAGAGGCGAATTTGATACGTGTTCAGCAATCACTCAATGAATTCGAAATGAAGCACCTTAGGCAAGTGCTGAGGAATGACAGGCAGCACATCTTTATCTAGCAGCAGGGTTGTTTCTTCACACTCGGCCTTGACAAATACGAAATATTTACGGGCGTACTTTGCGATATCCTTGGCAGCGCCACCTTGTGGTTGTTTTCTTCCAAGACGATCAAAGCAGTCTCCAGGTGCAAATTATTGGTCACGGATGTGATGATCGATGCTGTAGACGTACAAACGCATAGATCCAACCAAAACATACACAGCCTCGCCCTCCTCGTCGTGATCGTTCAGATTGACAGACTCAATGCAGAACGTATTTGTGAGAGTGCCTTTCAACGCATAGAAGCAGTCCTTCTGTTGCGCAATAATAAGCGACCGGCTCTTCAGCTTGGTGAAAGTAATGTTGATATCATCGACCGAGGGCGTCCCTGCGTAGTTCAAGAGTCACGGCTAGGCTTCTTGCAGGCTCTCGGGGTGCTTCTTCTGGATGCGCTCAATGATCGGTTGTCAATGATTCTTGTAGAATTCGAGGACGCAACCGAGCTTTTCCCTTTTAATTTGTCTTTTTTTTGACACTTAAATCGAATCGTGATGACCAAGTTGTTTTGAGAAAAAATATCGACAGACAGCGACTAAGCTTCACTTTTTTATTCTGTACATTACAGTCACTTAGTTGAACTCATGACCCAAAATGGTACCTTCGGTCGGGGTCTTACCATTCTTTCCCAGATGACCATTATTTAGTAGAAAGATTAATATAAAACCATTTTAGGGTCACCACTACTGTTGTCGTGGGTTCACGCTTCTTCAAGATGCTACATGTCAGTATTTACATGGCTACCAAATTGCATTATAAGGACTTGGCGGTTAGGCAAGATTTAAATGACCTTGCGTTGATTAGGAAGTCCGTAGTAGGGATAAAACCCAGTTTGCTTTTTGGGCTGGCGCTCGTCTGACTATTGCATTGGGTAATAATCTAGAATTAGATTATTGATCAAAGGTGCCATCGCCGATGCTTTCGGCCGCCAACTCGACAACAAATGTCGATCTGATGCGGATCGCATCACTCACTCAGCACAATCGATTTAGCGCAACATGAGATGCGAGTGACGAGACAAAAGCGTTTCTCAGTAATAAAGATCTTCGGTTTGACGACACCCTTAGCCGTTTTCTGCGTCAGGCTAAGTTGAGCGCGTCCAAAATCTGGGCAATTTAGAAAAGTCTCCGGCGTGTGGAGATTCAGCATACGTATCCCGATCAAAGGTACGTTGCGTAGTAGAAATTATAAGCACAACCAGCCGCAATTATTAAGGAAGACTGCTCACGGTGCTGATTGAGTCGAATGCAAGCAAGAGTACCCAGGCAAATTTGCCGCCCATCATGATGTCTGAGATGTCTTGTTTAGCGGTGCAGCCCAAGACACGGAGACACTTTCTGATTGCACGTCGTATTTCCCACTACGCCTTGCCGACTTGGTGTGACCATGGAGTGTTTTATGATGGCTGCAGTCTGTTTGAACGACAAGCCGATTAAACTATTGTACATCGCTTAATTATAATGTGTAAAACT